TTAATCTCCTCAAAGAGATCGTTCCCAAGGAGTTGTTGAAGGAAGTACGAGTGAGTTGCATTTTTTCACCTTATTTTCCAGTAAAACATATTTAACAAGCAAATAAGCAGGGGATGAGTTGGTAACAGCAGAAGCTAATATCACACTACGCCACGCATCATAAAATGTTAGAAACCAACTTGTCATATTTTCCTAAGGAAAATGATTGTTGAGCAGTTTGAATGACCTATATATGGTCGTTCCCAGAACTCAGCAGTACAAAGGTTGATTTTCTTTCTCTAAATGAGGTATGACTGTTCATTTAACTTAATCATTAGCCATCTGAGCTCAACTTTATCCAAGGGAACTATTTCCAACCAAATAGACTAATAAGTTCTTGGATAAAAGAGCAGATCTTTTAGAGAAGTTCTCTTTATGTAACTTGTCAATAATGTTCTAAAAAATAATATCTATTCAGCCAAGGCTTAAGCATAAATGAGTTCTAAAAAAGAATATCTATTCAGCCAAGGTTTATCCATAAATGAAACACCAAACTCTAACGAGTAATGGAAGAGAAAACAAGTTATACATAGTACTCTCTCTGTGATCTCTAACTCGAACATGGAAGAACACTTTGAAAATCGCATAGTTGTACGAGTTTGAGGTTAATCAAGAATAAAATGCTTTCAGTAGTGGCGTTTACAAAGCATTAGATAAGATCTATAAATAGAGAGGTACCTATAAAACTCACTCAAAATCTGATGAGAAGAGCCAGCATTAATTATATTAAACCATTCCAGCCTTGAGAAATATGATGAGAAGCTCTGAATGAATTCTTTCACTGATTCTTTCTCAGGGAAGGTTTGAGAAATAACATCCAATCCCACAAGGCATATTGGTTCAGAAGCAATAGCCACAAAATCACCATGATGTGATGCACTGAAGTTAAAATTTGGCAACTCCAACTTCAGTTTGTCACATTCCTAGAAGAGGATAGGATTAACGATATTGCAAATGTGAAGATATCAACTGCAAGCAACAGCAAAGCAGGTAGCATGAAGAACATACTCAAAATTAAACAATCAATGTTACTCTGGCATCAAGAATGTAATTTCAAACATATATAATGAGAATCTTTTCAGCTGAATCAGAATATGTGATTCTGAAACTGAATCTTTATCGATTTTGTAAACATGAAAAATATGAGAAAGCATCAGTAATTGGGAGAATTTTCCGAAGACGAGTTATGTAAATGCTGGTAAACCATGTATGATATGATCAAAATAACAGATGTAAGTTCTTGAAAGTTGCAATTATCTAATCTTCATGGATTTTACGGAGTCTACTTTGGATAAGTTGGTTTATTTGGATATGGGAAACGACAGCTGCATCCACTAATACAAGGGGAAAAATATGTATAAGAAGAAACCATTACATATTAAATTCTTATATCCAATATTCATCACTTGAGTACTTCCTCATTGATAAATAAGTGGTGTTCAAATAGGAGAGAAGAGCAGGACTTGGCCGAGAGACAACTTTCTTCATGGATGATGAAGCAGGACCAAAATGAAGAGAAAAAACTATTCGACAGATATTACGGAAAGTATGTGTTTGACACTGGTGAGAAACTAATTCATCAATTGAGAACAGCAGGAAATTTCGTATATACAATCCGGAAAAAGGGGTCAACATCATGCTTCTCATGTCATATTCCAAGTATTTGTCTTGTGCAAGTTGTCTAGTGGATAATAAACCTTTATAGAACACATTTCTAGTATAAGGCTACTGCAAATAATTATAGCGAAATTCCATCCAAGGACGAGTCATTTTACACCTCTAATCTTTGACTCTACAGGAAACACTTGGAAGAATGCAAGAATCCAGATAGTTATCGATAAAAGACACTTCTGATAAGGTACTTCAACGAGCAAACATGAAAAACATAATTTCAACAAAAAATGAGAACCAAAAGCTAGTGCATTTTCAGCATTGTACCTGACTACGTTCTAAATATAACAGGTATGGTTTCCCCTCTGCAGTGCGCCTGATGACAATTTCGTTATATGGGATCCCCAAGACTTGATGTATCAGTGCATACTGCAACAATCTGCTCACAAGAGCCCGTTTTCGATCTTCCATTTTAAAGAACCTAATCAACGAGTGACAAAATCCGCTCAACTTTCTACAAAGGGGTAATCTTGATAACCAAATTCCTCAACAAGCTTCTTTATACACCCGTATATAATTAAGCAAGTAAAATAAAGTGCACATTCAAAATATTGCTTTGATAGACACATTTTAGCAATAGAGAATTAAAGAATTCTAGAATAAACCTAAAGATAAAATTTTTACTTGAAATACAAAGTGCATATTCAAAATTCAAAATTAAGGCAAGTATAACAAAGTGCAAACTCACAATTTACTTCCATAGACAGCATTTTGCAATCAAGAAGGAAAAAGTACAGATAAAATAAAAAATCATTTTACTTGAAATCATCAACTGTAGTTCGATTATAGGATTATTGTTGTAGTACTATTCAACTACTATCTATTGTTTTTGTTATTTTCTATTGTCTCGTACTTCCATTACATCTTTTTCTAAACTGTTTTTGTCTTGAGCCGAGTGTCTATCGAAAACAACCTCAATACCACAGAGGTACATGTAAATTCTGTGTACACTCTACCCTCCCCTAGATACCACTCTATGGGATTACACTGGGTATGTTGCTGTTGTACATCAATTTAGCACTTCAAATAAAACATAAGACCCTTGGAAACTTTATGCAATCAAGAACCAAATGGTATACAATAAACTAAAAGATAAAAGCTTTACATGATATACACAATTTTTAGCATTTCAATCTATATACAATTTATGCAATCAAGAACCAAAGTAGTATAGACTAAACTTAAAGATTAAAACTTTAAATAATATACATAAATTGTTAGCATTTTATAGAAAATCCATGGACCCTTTGTGCAATCAAGAAAGAAAGAAGTGTGTGATAAAGCTAAAAGATGAAAACTTTACATAAAAAAACTGAAGGACAGAAGAGGTAGAATCAAGAAACCTGGTAATAGAGGAGTGTTCATGTTGGGGAAGAAAGGACATAGCAAAAGAGAAGTAATTGGGAGATGGGTTCCATTCAGAAATGTCAACTATCCATCTATGGACACCCTTCTCCAATTCCATTTCCAAAACTTACATAGAAAAGAAAATAGTGTTGAATTTCAACTTTTCTTCCTAATAAATTGTTGCTTGCCAGTTCCAATGCACTTGTATTTTACAAGAATGACCTTTGTCTTCTTCTTTTTTTTGTTTTCTTAAAAGGAGTGATATCCGTATTGAAACACGATTAAATTCAGAATTTCTAATAAAGATAACACCATCCTCAGAAGATTCAAACCCGGAAAATGATTAAGAATAAAAGAATAGTTATCATTCCACAACTCTAATAAGTTATGGGCATAAATTTAATTTTACACGTGAGACAAAAATTTAGGATATTTTAATAAGTGTCTTTTGAAAAATAAGCTGTATATTTAACTTTAATTGTTTACAAATTATGATAAAGACATAATACATAAATATATCTTTTAATTTAATCTTAATTGAAAGTCATAATATATAAACCGCGTCTTACAGAATATAATACAAATCAATTCAAGGTATATCTGAATTGTTTCCATTATCAATACTCTCCCGCAAAAGAATGAAATGCCCTTTCCATTATTTAATGGGGCATCAATTATGGAGTTCAAAATATTTTAATACTTAATCCTAATATATATGATATATTTTATTTTATTTTTAGTTAGTCACACAATTTTTTTTATTTTTTTATTCAGTAAGTAATAATTTAACTTTAATAAAAATTACGGAAGCAAAATCTTTTTAATTGACTGATTGGATTGTGTGTGGATCACTTTCACATAATCAACAATTAATTGCCTACCAATTCTTTGGATTTGCAGTCTTGAATTAGGTGGCCAAAACGGTTGAGCAGAAACAACAACATTCTTGTAATAAGAAAAAGCATCTTAAACTTATAAACTCAAAACAAAAAATTCAAAATAATTCAAATCAATTGATTCAAAATCTAACTTAAAAGTTTGGATCGAATTTCAATTACATTTAGCAAGATCCAAAAATCAAAATATAAAATCGAATATCTCAAATTCGATCCAGTCACAATCCTAAATATACAAATACTAGCTAACTATCTGTCTTGACTTTGGGAAATTTTAGTAGCTTAATTGGTTGACTACTGAACTTTCATCTTGTTGGTGAAAGTTCGAGTCCCCACCTTGTTGTCCCTTTTCGTTTGATTCCCCACCTTACAGTTCCCTCTCGTTCGATACCCCTTTTTTTTAAAAAAAAATAATAATAATAATTTGTCTTTACCTTTTACATAGTTGAACAAACCAACATTTTTCCCATCACGGCAATATGACATCTTTTGTTTGGATCAATTTATTAATCGTCATGAAAGACGCAACCAACAAAATCCTTCGTTCTTTTCTCATTTAGCACAATATTTTGATGTCCAATTTTTGAGTCTTCACATACTATAAATAACTTCACTTTTTCATTGTAAGTTCATTCAACTTTCAAGAACTTTGTGGAAAACATCATGAAGTATGTGAAGCTATACAAATCCCATGGAAGCCAAGAAGATGAATTGTCAAGTGCTAGCACTACTCAGAAGAATAATGAGTTAACAGATGATCATGACAAGCAGAAGGTTAAAAGATTCAAAGCAGCCATGCAGAAAGTGATGTTAAAATTTGAGTCCAAAAAATCTCAAGGGGAAAATCCAGTTCAATCGGAGAAACCTAGTTAATTCTGTGTGACCATCTCATCTAAAAAAAGTGTAAATGGTAATAAGGTATATATATTCTTCATCTGTATCAGTTTCATAGTTTATTATGGTGTAATGTACCTTCTATATCAATTATGAACTACCAGTCACTAATCAATTGTCAAAACGTATAGTTTAATGGTACAAGTGAGAGTCTTCAACGTAATAAGTGTGAGTTCGATTTTCATTGTTCTACTTTCACCTTTCCATGGCAAAGAAAATCTTATTCTTTACAACAACTAATGTACATAAGATTTGGGCAAAAAGGAGAAAAAATAACAAAACCTTCTGTTTCTGACCGTTAACATCGTTGATTTGTTACTACAGATCGACTATATAGTATATACTCACTCTTCTAAGTGTAATATAAAACGACTAACGTACATAATATGAGTATTTAATAAGCTATCAGCTAGATTTGCCACGCAACTTAGCAGCTTCTGAGCTAGTTGTTGTCATGAAAGATTCTCCACAACCACATTGTCCAGTTGCATTTGGATTGACAAATATGAACTCAGATCTGTTCATGAAATCAAATATTTCAGTTTTGATGCTTATGAGACACATATAACGATAAACCAGGTTAATGAATAGCAATATATTGGAGTGCAAATGGGTGATGCAAGTTAGTGCTACTAGAATTCACGCAGTTAAGTATGGTGGATCAGTTTCACAAGGACAAAGATGACAATGAATCGAACCAGAAAAACTACATTTTTAACTCAATCTCGCTAATCAGTATATGAAGTTCATATTCCTCTCATTCTAAAAAGGGAAGACATGAATCATGGGTGAAGTCTGTATAATTTGAAAGAATATTTTCTTATACTCATCCATAGGAATCACAGACAATGAGACGAGAGAAAGTAAAGAGAGTCAACAGACTGCACTATAGCTAGACATGACAAGCAAAAGAGAATCGGTAATGTAATTGCTATTCTGTTACACCTTATTTTTCCTTAAAGTGGAGTCCTAAAAGTACATGATAGGCTAATCTAGAGAAAGTTACAACACAAGTCGCAAAGGTCATCTGGGCAAAACTTCTAAGTCAAGTTAATTTTAAAGCAACTGAAAGATTCAGCAGAATAACAAAAAGAAGCTCGTCTCTGCAGGGAAAGAAGAAAAGGCTGCAGCTCACTTCAGCCTATTAAACATCAAAGTTATGTCATAATCATACTGAGAAACTAAAAAAATTAACTTGCTTGGATATTAGTTCATAGAGCTACTTAATGTCGTGACATGAGACGGTACTGGAAAAACTAGAAAGTTAAACTTGGTTTAATCTTAGCTTATACTAATTGTGGTACTGAATCCTGTGATTTGAAAGCTCTAAGAATAAGATTATAAGAGTGACCATAAGAAAAAGATTACAAATGCAACAGTAGCACCATGAATAAATGACATATGGACTATAAGTCTATAATTATACTAGTACGATATAAAGCAGAAATACCATCTCATACCTGAGTTTATCATCAACAAAATCCATCTCGGTACCTATAACATGCATAAGTGCCTTTGGATCAATCAGTATCTTCACTCCCTTGTCCTCAATCAACTCGTCAAATTTTCCTTTATCGTCTGTACAAGCAAGGTAAATCAATGGCAAGTGACAGAAGAAATTTCATGTATGATTTTACTTTTTCTTTGATAAATCTCACATATGGTTTACTTTTACTTTTAAGAAATTTCAAAGATGGTTTGCTTTTCTTTAAGACATTTCACAGAGGGTACACCAGTTATTAAGCTAAAGATAGGCAAGTTCTAAAGGTAATTAATTATGATTAATCGGCAGAATAATCTGTAGGGACATGCTTGCACAAATCAGTTGAACTAGCTCTATGCAGATGTTGAGAGCAGGGTATTGAAACTTTGCGCACAAAGTAAATGTAGACTATTATTGTGAACTCCATTACACCTCCGACGTGCCTGAACGCACACATTTGATGAGTTAATACACACTACTGAATTCACTCGGTGTGAATAAGATTAAATCATCAGTAGACCAATTATACATTAAGTGCAGCTCAAATTATGCCAGAAACAGATGCAAGATATTTCTTTCTTGATAACCGAGAAATCCCCTAGGGCCAATGGCCCAGGGTTCGAAATTCAATGCATAATGGTCCCGCTCCTCCTCCCTTCTTTACTTAAGTACCAAGCCTTTGTCTACAATATGGTTCAAACCCGTAACATGCACCTAACTCACACATCATGAGGTACACTCTTATCACTAGACCAAAGCCCTGGGCTGCGGATACAAGTCATTTTCTTATTTAGCAGATGCAGATAATTAACAGTTAGCACAGTCAAAAAGAAAATCTGGAAGGATGGCAAAAGAGTGGAATATGGTATTCATTTTCCGAACCATTCTTTTTGGATCAATCTTCAATTTCCAAAGTCATCAGTCCATTATGTTAGGCAACATTGGTGCAGAAGTCTTAGTCAGGCAAATGAGCAAGCTGAGAGAGGATATATTTCATCATTTTTGCTGACTCTTTATTATTTAATCTGTCAAGGCAAATACTCCCTCCTTCCCATTTGTTTTTGACTAATTAACCAGACATGACATTTACAATGTTAGTGTGTAAATAGTATGTATGGTTGAGTTCAACATGGAGAATATCACATCAAAGTTAAGAAAAAAAATACATGGTTATATGAATTTTCTTGAAAATTAGTGTAAGTTGTGTAAATAATACTATATTATTTGAGTGGTTCAAGCATTTTGGACCTCACAAATGGAGAGAGCGCTATATAACTTGGGGCAGAGGGGTAGATTTTATGCAATCGATTTGCTACCGACATATTAATTTCTGATAGATGTTAAAGAAAATCATGATTACAACTGTTGTAAAGCAAAAGATATTTGTGCTAAAATGACATTATCGTTTTTGTATTTGCAAGCAACTTCAAATCACCTTAAAACCAAAAAAGATCAATAAATAAGAAAAGTATTTCAAACTCTATCTTAATACCACTTCTTCCCCTCCTCCATCTCTCATTCAACGGGATACGTGTCACCTCCCACCAGCAACAAGTTTCAAGTAAATGTATCAACCAAGACTAGGATAGATGGAGAGATATCACTATCATGCTATCTATAACCAATTTTTCTTTTTTCAAAAAGAAACCCAAAGAGGGTTATAAAATACCGACAATGCAAAGTGCAAAACCATACACCCAAAATTGGTAACACTATACAAAAAAAAAATCCAACATAGAAAACATTCTATAAATCACTCCTAAGCAAATTCACCATTCCCTGCCTCTTTATAAACCCCTTACCCTACCATCGCGCCACAGGGGAAGAGCTACAATCCTATCTACAAGTTCGGCAGAACCCAATAACTTTGCCCATATAAGTATTTCCGCTTAAAAATTTGTATAATTAATTTATCCAGAATCCATTAAACTATCATTTCCAAAATTTCACAAACCATAAACTCAAAATCCTAGCTCCGCCTCTGCATTAACTGATCATGGATCATTAAATTGATTTATATACTCACAATCCGCGTTCAGGATCAATTACAAATTTCAAACTAACACAACAATAAATAATGATGAGAAAAAAAACATAAATCAAAAAGGGGGGAAACCTGCATAATTGAGGGTATAAGACAAGCCGTTACAACCGCGAGATTTGACACCAAGCTTTAGGAAAGAACGCTGACGCTGTTCCAACAGCTGCCGTACTCTGGAAGCCGCAGCTTTCGTCAATGTTAACACTTGCTTTCTCATTTCTGAAAATTTCTCAACTTACAGTAATCAGATGAAGAAGAAGAAGAAGAAGGTGGCCTTATTGGCTGTATTAGTATACTGTAAATGGATTTTGGGCTTGACCCGATTGGGAGTTTATGGGTTGTTATGAAATGGATCGATGGGCCTTCTTTATGGATAATATTCACAAAATAGCCACTTTTAGGATTGCTATTAAATTTTATCTAGTGCTTGCAAGTTGTTTAATATTGAGTCACTTTTCATAAAGTACACTAACATTGATAGTTTTAACAATTATATATTTTGTTTGGGTTGTTTTTGGATACATTGTATCAAATGTATTTTGCTTTACTCGTTCGCTTCTCTCATTTCTTTTTCTGTTCTGTATTTCACAATTTCATATATATGTGTATTTAATATGAAATATACACTGATATATTCTGTGTATATCAATTTCATTCAGTGTGTCTAATATTAGTTTTATGTATCATGTATAAAAATGTATTGATGTATTTAATGGAGTTGGGCATAGTTACACATTGGTTTTAAAAGTGCACAGATATATCTAGTGTATATGGAATGTATCTAGTGTATATATGCATAATTTCATCTCTCTGTTGTAATTGTGGCTTAATTATAGTTACCCTTCAATACTATTTCACATCAATTACGTAATAACAAATTATGACTCATAATTTCCGAAATTCAACTCAAAAATAATAGTCATTAATCATTTGGTAGAGTGTATAAAATAATGCTAAATGGAGTGTATCACTAATGGCATACATTAATAGTGATTGTATTAGTTATGTTTGCATTAGTTATACTTAGATTATTTCTTATGCATTATTCGGTTTGGTGCATTAAAAATAGCATGCATTAATGTATAAAAATATTTATTTACAAAAATATCATCCAAAATTATGATGAAAAAGATGTAAAAAAGATTTTAAGGAATAATTGAGTCTTTAACCATGCTGATGCATATATTATTAAAACCCTTTGCATTACTAATACCTAAAAATCTATGATATTAGTAATACACTCATAGCATTTAGATAGTGTCAGACATGGACATAGCTAGGCAGGGGCATATCTAGAGGGGGTGTCGTGGGTTCACGTGAACCCATGCTCCCCTCTCTAGATTATACATAGTAGTGTTATATTTTTTAAAAGATACTTAACTATAGATGTGTGAACCCACGTTCGAAGTGTCATATAATAATACAATGATAATTGGGTGCATCTCTCTTAGTGAAGATAGAAATTTAAATCTTATATATATCTTGTCTTTATGAATAACACCTCTCCAAGTGGTTATTGGTTGGCATTTCAACTAATTTATCTTTTGTTTTTTGTTTCCTTTAATCTCTCAAAATTTTCAAGTGTGTTACATTGAAAATTCCTAAAAAAATTAGCATTTTAAAGATTTTACATAACTAAATGTGTATATTAAAATCTAAAACAAGTAGTATATATATTATTTTGGATCTATAATTTTTAAAATTTCATGGTTCAAAAACTAAAAATCAAATCGATCAAATTTATATTTAAGATGCATTTTTCGTAATCGTGCACTCATTTTACCAAAATTCTGAATACGCCTCTGTTAAGCTAGGGTATTCTAAAATGATATTTTTCTTTTTTGAATAAATAGAAGTTAACTTCATTTTTATCTTAGTTATTGTTTATATGTTAATTTATTTTTTTTAAAGTGAAAATTCTGATTCCGCTAAGAGGGGTTATAATGTAAGAAAACTATAATGGGGTATGTTTAGAAAGATATAGAAAATTCTTGATTCATTGGTTAGATGTGCAAGACAATGAAGAGTGTAGAAACTATATCCTTTCCACAACCTCACGTCTTTGTCTGGATTCAATGTATCTCTTCTACTTGACTCCTGAACCTACTTACCAGTTACCAACTTGGCTGCTTCCACCTCTTAAAATTATTTTAAAATTACTATATTATATTCCACAATTTTATATAGTATATAGTTTTACGTCCCATTTGCACCAAATAATCTCTGCTTCATTATGTCTACCAGGTATATATTTAATTCCCCATCACAAAAGAATAAAAAAAGGTCTTAAAAAACTTACTTTTAAGTATTTGTAAAATTACATTCACTATAGCAAAAATAGTTTTCAGCGATTATGAATATATATATTAACAATTTACCAGTATTAATTAATTGACATTGGATTTAATATCGTTATAAGCTTTATGAATATTTACAAAAAAAAAGGTCCTAATTATCATTAAAAATATATATTTAGCAACAATTAAACTTATTACGGTTAATAATTTACATTAAGATGTACTACTATCACTTTAAATTTCTTTTTGACAAAAAACTTGATTTTTCATTAATATAGAACCTAAATATGTCCTTATAGAGGGTTGAAAGGACAATTAAATAGAGTGTATCCTAATTGCTTTTCCCCTCTGCTTATTTTTTTTTCTATATAAAGCACCACACTATGACAAATATATTTTGTGAGCACTCTCTGTAGCACTATTTATTTGGTCTTTTATTGATTAAATTCTGCAATTTTTTTCAAGGTCAAAATTCAGATCTTCTACTTCAGTAAGTTAATTATAACCTTCTCTCTCAGTATATATAGAGTACTGTTTTCTTTTGATTAATTACTTGGAGTTATTTGTTTCTCAAAAAGAAAAGTATTAGTTTGTTGAATGTTTAGATTAATCAGATTAGGATTATTCTAGACAGAAGAAAACTCAATTTGGAAATTGGATCATTTATTTTTATCTAGTGTGTTGATAACCTGAGTCGAGCTTAAAGGGAACAAGGAGGATTCATTTAGCCGATTCCAACTTGTTTAGGACTAAGACGTAGTTATTGTCGTTGTTGTTGATTGAAAGTAGAATGGTCATTGAATTGAAATTGGTCAGATCCTTACTAGAAAAAGTTACATTTATTAACTTATTTTAATTATTACAAGGCAAAGAAAATCAGTTTTTTTTTCTTAAAAAGAAGAAAAAGCACGGGGGCGTGTGTATACCGCAGCTAATTGAATTGAGTTGTGGCTTCATGTCAGCACATAAGGTGCAAAGAAATATAGAAAAAAGTTTAAGGGGGAAGTTGTTGGGATTTTCCTTATAGTTTAAGGGGTACTTTTGTCTTTTTCTTTTGTGTTACCTTTAGGAGTCGTTTGGTTTGAATTCAAGTTATGATGTGATTAGTTATGATGGAATAAGTTATACTAAAATTATTTTTTATTGAGTGTTTGGTTTGTTGTATTCAAAATAATAAATCTTAATAACAACATATAAGTTTACTAAAATACCTTCCATGTGAAAAGTAATGTATAAAAAGTGTTTAAAGGGACATTTTTGTCATTTAGTCATTTTATCCCGGGATTAATATACCATCCATGGAAAGGGATAACTTATCCCGGTACTAATTATTAATCCCAGGATAAGTTATCCCAAACTTCCCAACCAAACACTATATTAAGTGCCACAAAATAATTATCTCAGGACTATTTGTACCTATCCTTCACACCAAATGACCCCATAATTTTCTTTGTTAATACACAAGTGTTTGTAGTGAATTGTGGCATAAGTAGTATTTCTTTTCAGTGCAAAGAACATTATACTCCCTGCAAAATGAGTTCGCTGGTGAGTCGGGAATTTATGTTGCTCGAACTCTTCAAAATGTGGTGTCAGATCCTCCAAAAAGTAGTGCATTTTTGGAGGAATCGTCATGTTGCGGTAACATTTTTGGAGAGTCTCGACTTATATATAGTCTAGAACTCTCTGTATGTGTGTGTCACTTTGAGTATGCATGAGAGCAATGAATTCCCCGTTCAACTCAGGTCTTGATTTGAAGTTTATGAATCCTGAAGAAATAGCATAAGACGAAACAAAAGAACAATTTCTGGCTAATGACAAATTTCATCATCTAGGATTGAGTTGTGAGAATTTCTGGATAGATATCATGCATTTGAACTGTATTCTTTCCGGTTAAAGAATCTTCTTTCAAGTTGCTTTGGAACAATTAGGAGATTCTTTAGAAGAAATACAGTGTTTTGCTTCTGGCAACAACGTGCTTGGTCCCGCTTATAGGGACAATTCAATGTGTTCTAAGAAGAAAGATTGGATTATCAATCTCATCAAGAAAGAGTATTGTTTAAACTTTATTATCCAACATCTGTCATGTTTTTAGCGCGAATTAGCTTAATTGATCGTGTTTTATGTCTCTCAGGTATAACATGTCGAGTATAACCCTTCCTTCATCTTCCTTGCTCAAGGTTGCACCATCAATAAAATCGTCCGTTTTTACCAAACCACTCTGTTCATTGTCTTCTGTAAAGAGTATTTCCAAATCATTTGGATTAAAGTCTTCGCCCTCGTTCAAAGTCAGTGCAATGGCAGCATACAAAGTAAAACTCATAAGTCCTGATGGTAAGGAGAATGAAATTGAAGTCTCCGATGATCAGTACATCCTCGATGCAGCAGAGGAAGCTGGTTTAGAGCTGCCTTATTCGTGCAGGGCCGGCTCGTGCTGCACTTGTGCAGCACAGTTGGTTTCGGGTTCAGTTGATCAATCCGAAGGTGCATTCCTGGACGATGATCAGATGGAGAAAGGTTATTTACTGACCTGCATTTCGTACCCGAAATCGGACTGTGTGATTTACACACACAAAGAGGAAGAAGTTCATTGAGTTTTTGTTTAATCTGTTAACTCATTCTGTGCCTTTTATGGGAATTAGAAAGAACTTGTTCCAGAAAAGGGGAATAGGAAAATAAGAAACAGAGTTATTCTGTACTTTCCACTTGTATTGCTTTCTTGAAAATGCATTTAAATTTGGATGATATTGGTTTAAATTTATATTGTTGGTTAATTGTAATTGAATTAATTATTTAAGTCCAATGAATACAGATTGACAAAAGAATTCAATTTCATTGTGGTGGTTCATTTGATTGAGCTATAAATGATGAACTTGTTTTATTAGCCTAAGATTTATTGAGTATAATGCATGTGTTTCTATCAATCAAATGTGATTTTGTTATTGTTTCAACGTGATTAGTCGATAATTCA